GTTAAGCAAATCAAGTTATTTAAACAAAAAAGTGAAGATGTTTTTTTTTATGAAGAACAAAATCTATTACAAGACATTGAGGTAGAAATAGAAGAGCAAATTGAAGATCAAGAATTTGATCAAGATGAAAAAAAATTGGCACATGCTAGAAGATACACAAGTTTATAGGGATAGATATTGTGATGCAACATGGCTGATGAATGAAAGAAAAAAGAAAACATTATATTATAAAAGATCTTATTTTAAAAAATTATAGCAAATTATCTTTAAAAATAAGTAATAGTTAAAAAGATAGTAAAACTAAAAATTACTATTGTTTCTTTTTTATGAAATAGACTTCTATTTACTTTGTAGGACCATAAATAAAGTAGATTAAAAAATAAAATAATATAGGTATGTATAAGAGAGAGTTAAGAGTAGATTTTAACAAAATTTACCTCAAGAAGCTAAGAATTGATACCTAAAGAGGACTAATTGTCAACCTAGGTCGAAATGAGACCTTGAGGCACAAAACCGTGCACCTATGGTGACTTCGAGGTTCTTTAGTAGATTGGAAAGTGGGATTTGAGAGCATACTTGATAAAGTTTCTTTTAGCATTGGTTTTGTATGATTTAAATTTATAATGACTTTATAAGAGCTTTACAAATTGGAGGTTCTATTGAATGACTTGGATTTTTATGAAATAAAGTAGAATTGATGTTTTGGATAATTTTAAGGGTTTTGTAATAGTTCTATAGGTGTAATTTTGTGGATTAGTAGATATAATTTTGCTTGATGTATATTATAAATTTAAGCATGATTAGATGGTTAAATTGAAGGTTCTTGAAGTTTAAGTAGATCAAGATCTTAGAAATTGAAATTTTAGATCTCATGACGGTTTTAAAGATTTCTAGTAATTTACAAATTGGATTAGAATAAAATTTGTGTATGTGGATAGTAGACTTATTTTCCTACATATATGTGAATTTTGAGATTAATTGAATGGTATAAAAAAAAGATATTAGTACTAGAAGATTAGCATTTAGATTGAAGAAGGAGGCTGTCTAATACATGAGTAGATTTTAGGATTTTTCTCCTATTTGATAAGTGAAATTATCTTCAAATTTGTTGTACTTGTTTTTAATTAAGAGGTTAAGATGTGTATAAAATTTTAAGCAAAATAAATTATTTAATTAATAGATATTGGGATTCTAATCTACCTTAAGATTGATTTGAATTGATTAGATTTTACTTAGGATTTGGTTTAGAATTTAGGATTTTTTAGGACTTTAGATTTGTCTAAGATTTAGGATTTATTTAAGACTTAGAATTTGTCTAGGGTTTGATTTAGGATTTGGTATAGAATTTAGAATTTATTTAGGATTTTATTTAGGATTTAATTAAGATCTATTAGGATTTTAATCGGAATTAAAGTAGGATTTGATTAGGATTTTTTTAATATTTTATTAGGATTTTTTATGGATTTCTTTAAGATTTCTTTTGAATTTGATTAAATTTTTTTTAATATTATTAAATTTTAATTGGAGTTTATTTAAGATTCTATTAGAATTATTAAGATCTTGTTGTTGCAATTTCCCTTCTATCTTCCACAACCAAGTATCCAATGCATTTTCTAGCAAGACTTCACATAATACGACAACATTATACTATGTCATCTATTCAAAAAAGAACATGTTCTTTTTGAACAACTTTATCTCTATTACATCATCTTGAAGGTTATAACAATCATAATGCCTTATTTCTTAATTCAAAAAATGATAGATTCTAAATTATATCTAAATTATAAATAGTTGATTTTTATATCAAATTATAAATTACAAATATTTGATTTTTTTTATCTTTCTAGTATCAAAAATTTTAAAAAATTATAAACAAAAATAGAAGATAGAATGCAATCTTCACTAAATCTTGTTTCTTTTAATTCAAGATTTCAATATATTACTTAAAGATGTAATTGCTTTGGCTTCAAAAGAATTATTTATTGTTAATCAAAAGTTACATTTCTTTCTTTTGAAACAAGATAAGAACATTTTAAAAGTACACTTGATAAGTTTTGTTGTTTACTTAGTTGATAAGTGATTTTGAATTCAAATTTTAACAAAACCATGTTCTAGCAAGCTTGATGACAATTTATTACACTTGTTGACATAATTCAAAAAATCTCTTTGTTATAAATCTTGTAATTAATATTGGTTATTAAAAAAATTCTTAAAAAAAAATCTATTAAATGAAGTTTGTCATATATTATTATTTGTAATAATATTACATTCAATTCAAAGTCTAATGCATCTATTTTCATAAAAAAAATATCTTAAAAAATCCCACAAAATATAAGATTCATAAAAAAATAAAAATTATATTCAAAGCTTCAAATGATGCTTCAATTTCTTTATTTCATTCAAGTTTTTCTTTATAAGTCAAATGTGTAAGTAGAGCTACAATTTGAAAATAATTATTGATAAAGATTTAATAATAGTTAGAAAATTTTAAAATAAATTTGACTTATTTAGCTATTTTTAAAATACTCTAATCCATTATAATTTAAACTTTTTTAAGATCCATTATAAAGCCATCATTTGAAATAATGTATCATAAAAAGTCAACTTGAATAGTGTGAAATGCATACTATTCTATCTTAGTATATAACCTTTTATTCTTAAGTTTTTACAATGCATAACAAATATAAAGTTTGATTACTTGTTAAAACAAATAAGTCCAAGGATATGAGGTCAATTAAAGATTTGATAGCAATGATTGAAAATAGATAAGAAAAACTTACATTGCTGCCATTAAATATAGATGCATAGCTGGAGCTTAGGCCAAGAAGGTAGACTGTTTAAATATTGGATAGTCATATTACTAGAAAATTGTTAATTAGTACAAAGAATATGATAGTAGCAAAGACAATCAAACTTGAGATAGAACAGCATTGGACTAGAGGCTATATATTTCTAAAGTGTGTGCTCCCCTTATACAATTAAGTGTTGAATTGGTATATATTTTACTTGCTCTAAATACTTTATAAAGTTTTATCTTGCTCTTTCTTGTTATCTTGAGAGCTTAAATAATAAATTTGTGCTCTTTTTTGTTTTTAGAATAAATTAAAATATAATTAAGATAATAAAAAAAAAAATCATCTAAAAACTCTCAAAAAATATTAATCATTAGATGTCAAAAAAAATTGATGTATTTGTGAATTCAAAAGGCATAAAATTATATTCCAAATATTCATACTTAATTCAAGATTCAATCTTATATTCATCTCCTTTTTCAATCCATACTAGATTATATGGTCCTTGTATATCTATTTTGTTATAGATCTTTGTTCAATTCTATTGTTTAAAAAATCCCAATATTAAAGGTAGAAAATATCTATTCTTGATAGTAATCTTATTGAATTTTTAATAATCCTAACATATCTGTAATGATCTATTTTTTTTTCACAAAAAAGATAAGAGCTTATGCTAGAAATTTTAAATGGCATATGAAGTTTTTAGCCAAGTTCTTGTCATTGTATTTCTTAAATGCAACAAACTTATTTTATGATATGCTATGGATTGATCTAAATGATTGTTGAGCTCTTGCTTAAAGATCAATTGAGCAATCATAAAGACAATGCTTTTAAAAAATATGTGCATTCTTCTTCTCAAAAATATCTTGATAATCTGAATGCTAACTTAGAATGTCACTTAAAGTCTTTTTACTATAAAAAATGAGTATGTCATAAATAATAAAATATTACCTTTTTTTGCAGTATGTATGAAAGATTTTGGACCTACCAATTAAGATTTAGAATTATGGCTTTTTACTTAAATAATAAAAGTTAGAATTATATTATGGAAAAAAATTAAGATTACAAGAAATCCAATCTATTCAAGGATTATACTTCTCTAACTACAATAAAATCTTTTTAAGTAGGTTTTAAAAAAAAATAATAAAAAAAAATAAAAATATACTAGCATAATGTATTTAAAACTATACTACACCATTCTTATATAATTAACTTTTAGTGCCAAAATATGGAAGTTATATAAAATTTCTTTGTAAAAACAAGTACAAGACTTATATCCTTGAAGAGGTTTTGTATTATGTGGTTTGGTACTACATGGTTTGGTACTACAAGCTTTGAGTATTAATTGGTAAGAAAAATAATTGAAGTTGAATCCAATTTGATAAGCAAATGAAATTCAAGAGTGTTCTAAAGTGGCTTGATCATTCATGACATTCAACAAACTAATAACAAAAATTTAGAATCTATTAGTATGATTTGTCACTCTTATATTGGCCTTGTTACAAAATGCTAGTATATAAGTTCTTTTGTTTTTGCTTTGTACTTTTTGGGTATAATGTAATCATTGGGTATACATCATCTCGTGTCAACAAATAAAAACACGCAGTTGCTCCTGTAACTTCGTTGTTCTAGAATGCAAACTGAAACTCACTTTCTGTATAAATTACATCAAAAGGAAGATGGTGCAGCCAAGGGAAAGCAATACAGAGGAGTCCACGTGGCGGCTCGCCTCAATATGCAGAGCGAGCGACACTCATGCGCTGGCTTGCCTTGCGGCGTCGTGACCCCCCTATTCCGCAGAAGCACGAGAGTCCGTGACTGGGAGTTTGCAGCTCGGGTGGAATTCCTCACTGTCGCCACAACCCTGATATGCACGCAGATGTAGCCCCATCAACTGGATATGGATGGATCAGTCCGAGAGGGCCCTTCCTCACCGCTCCCCGCCCAAGTCACAACCATCCCAAGTGTTGCACAATCCGCAGCTCGCCAAGTGGAGAATGGGCCCGGCATGCCTTACCATGTGTCGGTTCTCTTCGCTTCGCCCCAAATGACAACCCACCGCGTGGCACCCGCCACGCATGGTCTCACAGGTGTCGAACGCTGCATAGCGTTCTGCTCTGCAACCCCGTCCGTCACCGCTTCCAACCTCTTCTGGACTCCATGCCATGACAAGACTTTAAAACCGAAGTTGCCAAGTGTGTAAACAAGCAATTATTCCTTTAGATACAGATTCAGTGCGTGTGACATTGGGTGTGTTAACTCGGTCGCAGCGGTTTGAATTTGAGCTTTAAGTAGCAGAGGTGACAGTTTCGGAGTGCCTGTGAGTAGGTTTTTTTTGCCGACCATTGTTTGTAGCGAATTGTGCATATTGGAGGTCTTGTATAGGAGAGGGTCAAGGTTGAAGGGGATTCACTTCTAGGGTTTCGCTGATCTTTTCTGGTGAAGAGGTTAGAGCTTGTGAAACAAACAAGTGGGTATGGCTTCGAGAATGGAGCAGTCGCAACTTCGCGCGGAATCGAACCGGGCTAGGGATGAAGGTCGGGAGCACGTCCACAAGGGCACAGAGGCGGCTAAGGAAAGCGCCAAGGAGTACAAGGGCGCGGTGCAGCAGGAGGGACAGGCTTTGATGAAAGGTGCTGAGGATAGGTACGAGAGTGCCAAGAATTACACCAAGCAGAAGAGTGGCGAGATTGCGGACTCTGCTGTTGCGACAAAGGACGCCTCCGTGGACAAGACTGTAGGCGCTAAGGATACTGTTGTGGACAACACGGTTCGGGCCAAGGATTCCATCGTCGTAAACCCCTTGCCTTCTCTCCAACTTGGCATCATTGGCTTCCTGAAATTGTCTTTTTGGAGAATTGATCAATTTCCAACATAAGTCGTTTTTTCAATCGAAATTGATTTTTGGTCGGAGAAAGCTTGCTATGTATAGCAGTTATTCGTGTTGTATTACAGTTGTTTGGATGGGAATTAATCTCGGCGAGCTCCATTTTCTCGTACAAGATCCGGTTCTTACAACGTATGCTCTCCCACTAAGCTTTTAGCTCTGGTTGCATTTGCAAATGTAACTATACTGGGTTAGATTGAAGTGTACTCATTAGGTGTGACGTCCCTTTCCAGGATACTACTTCTCAATACGCTGGTGCAGCTAAGGACAAGCTCGTGGGCATGAAAGATAGCGCGCTTCACTCATTCCAGCAAACCAAGGATTCCGCTAATGAAGTGAGTGCGAATGCCAGAGATAATGCTGCAGAAAATTACAACCAAGCAGCTGGTTACACTCAAGACGCCAGTAATCGATTTAGGGATTCTGCATCAGAAAAGTACAATCAAGCATCGGACACAGTTGGCAAGACTGCTCAGAATACCCAGAGAGGCGCTCAAGAGAGGTAACTACATTCTCTTCTGCATAGGAAGCTCGTGTAGAGCAAATTGTTATTGATCGATTTTCTCTTGTAAGTATAGATTAACCTGCCACTCTTTTTCTCACATTTACGCCGAAATTAAAATAAATACATATATATATATATATATATATATATATATGAGTGTGTGTGTGTGTGTGTGTGTGATATTCGTTGCCATCAATTGTCTGACTCAATTTGAATTGAATTACAGCTTTGGACATGCAAGGGACGACACATACACATACATTGAAGAGGCACGGAAGAACCTTGATCGAGCTAATAAGTCGCTGGCAGACACGACTGCCAACACAGCTCATAGTGTAACCCAGAGGACTGCGGAGACATTGGAAGGTGCTGAGAATACCGCGGGAGAATACGCGAATGCTGCGAAAGACAAATCGGCTCAAACTTGGGATGCAACGAAACAGAAAGCTGGTGAGCTAACTGGGACTGCACAGGACAAGAAGGAAGAGGTCAAGGACAGTGCCGGACAGACCTGGGATGTTACGAAACAGAAATCTGGGGAGTTCGCAGATTCTACCAATAATAAGAAGGAAGAAACGAAGTCCAGCGCTGGGCAAACATGGGACTCTGGAAAGGATAGTGTAGGGCAGACGTGGGACGCCACTAAACAGAAAGTTAGCGAGTTAACTGGCACTGCACAGAACAAGAAGGAAGAGGCCAAGGATAGTGCCGGACAGATCTGGGACACTACGAAGCAGAAGGCGAGTGAGGTAGCAGATGCCGCGGGAGACAGGGAGGAGGAAATCAAGGGTAAAGCTGGGCAGACATATGAGGATATGAAGGAGAGCGCTGCTGAGACGTGGGATGCTACGAAGCAGAATGCAGGGGAGACGGCAGATGAAGCGGCTGATGCGGCATATTCAACCAGGGATCGTTCGTACGATGCCGCTGGTGTGACGCAAGATCACACCGCCTCGGCGTGGGAGCAAATGAAGCAAAAAGCGTCGAACCTGTTGGGAGTTGCCCAGCACAAAATGCACGACATTGCTGACGCAACGCAGAGGAAAGCGAATGAGACTGGAGATCGAGCAGCTTCAACATTAGATTCCACCGAGAAGGCCGTGTCCGACACCGCCCAAGATGCTGAGGGCAAGCTCAGCTCCACTTGGCAGTCAACAAAAGACAAAGCATCTGAGGGTGTGGATGCTGCTAAACGGGGAGTTAATGAAATGTCGGATGAGGCGCGGACTGCTGCTGAGCATGAGAGGGCTCACGAGCACAAGCGGGGTCCATTGCTAAGCTTTGATGGACTCAAGCAAAAGGCGTCTCAACTCCTGGGCGGTCACGATGATAGCGCAGATGATGCCAAGCGAAGGGCAGAATCTACATGGGACGCAACCAAGCAGAAAGCATCTGAAAATGTTGGAGAAGCTGAAGATAAACTCTCCGGGGCTGGCGCGAAGCAAACAGCGTCGCAAGCTTTGGCCGCTGGGAAAAATGAAATGGCTGACACTTTCGGTGAGATGCAGGACAGAAACACGTTGTCTGAGAGCACTGTAGGAGTCACTCCAGAGAGAGGTGCTACGGCTAAATCCGTTTGGGACACTACCAAGGATAAGGATCATTCCAGGGACAACCATTCCGTGGTTCCAGAAGTGAATTGGGGTGAAATTAAGCAGAAGGCCTCCCAATTCTCGGAGGGTGGTTCTAATGAAATGTCGGATACCTTCGATGATACCGCCGACAGAACCACGCTATCCGAAAGCACTGCTGGAGCTGTCCAAGCTGGAGCTCATGCTGCATCCGATCCACTGGACCCCTCCCACGCTAAGATGCAGGCTCCTGAGTACCATAAAACTCCAGAGATTACCCACGGCGTGGACTGGAATGCTGTGAAGCTGAAGGCTTCTCAAGTCTTGGAAAGCTTCGCAAACGAGACCGCTGACACATTCGACACCATCCAAGACAGGGATGTCATTTCTGAGAGCGTGGCAATGGCGAACCCACACAAACCAGGGCTAGCCTCGATCCCATTTGATCCCACATCGACGAAAACTTCAGTTCACGAAAAGGTTAACGAAGCTTCTGACGCAGCGTCGCAGAAGATGGAAGAAGCACGAGAGGAGGCAGCTAGGACTGCGGAAGACACTCGTCACGACACAGCTACCCACATGAACAACACCGGATTGAGCTGGGACAGTTTGAAGCAGAAGGCTTCCGAAGTGCTAGGCAGCATCCAACACGCCTCGCAGGATGCTGCGGATGCTGCGGATGCTGCCCATGAACAGGCTGGCAAAGCAGCCAACGACTCCTCCCACACCACGGAAGCAGCCTTGAGGAAAGCTGCTGATGTTGCAGGAGTTGCAAGTGATAGGGTGAATTCTGGTTTCAGTACTGATGAGACAGTTTATACCTCCGAGACGAGGAGAGCCACTGCAGGCCAAGTTGCGGATTACGCAGCTAAGTAGATTGGTTTCCCAATAAGTTAGAGGTGGGTAGTGTAGCAAACGAATGCACTACCAATCAGTCCGATTTTCATTTTCAAGTACCTCTTTGTAATTTAAATGAGTGAACATGACGTCGTTATACTTCAATGATACAGATCAAAATTTGCGGTTCTGTGCTTCATATTATGCACATGCAATCGTTATATCATTTCAATCTCATTTTTGCAAAGGTTGCGTTGAGTTGATGGTGGAGGTGTTAATGATATTTGAAGTAATAGTTCGGCTATGAACTCTAATCTTCTGCGCGAAGCCATTACGTTCAATACAATACTCTGGCTTGTTTGTGTTTATTTTGTTTTAGGAATTACTGCGAGGATAATATTTCTTATCTGCTTTAAATGCTATCTTTTTATTATTCATTTGGATATATATGCAGCTTTTGGATTACATTTATAAGAGATACAAAGTTGGCACTCATGCTTTATAATTTTCTTGAAAGAAATATACACGTCTGTCAGTCTGTGTATATATATATATATATATATATACGTACATATACACATTAATATACTTGAAAAAAATTATAACTCCATAAATAAAGACAGCAACATTTCAAAAAATATGTATCTTGCACATAGTTAAAACTACCTGTTAAGGAACAAAGTCATTTGCATAAAAATATTTACAACCCAATAATGATACAAAAGTAATAAAAATGTCATTTGAAGATGCTAATGAATAAATATACATATCATGTTGTATTTTTTGGAACACAATAAATGAATAAATAAAATTATATATATATATATATATATATAACAGTGTAAAAAAATGTATTTGTATGTATTTTGACTTATACAATGCATACTTAAAGTAATAATATTTAATTAATTAACTAATTGAATATAAAATATAAAGTAAATTTGAATAAACTTTGTACTTTTTAATCTTACCAAAGTCTAAAAATCCTTTAGATTTTGTAGAAATCAATGATTGATTATTTATCCAATTATTCAAAGCATTAACGTAGTTTACAAAGTAATAAAACTATTTGGAAAAAAATAAAAAAATAAAATTTAATAAATTAAAATTAATTTTTTATTAAAAAATGAAGGAAAAACTGTATATTAGATTTTGATATTTCTTATGAAAATCTGATGTAATTTTCTAAATTCAAAACAAAATCATTGAAATTAATATTTTAATTAGTACTTTTCTTTTATTTAAGAAATTATCATAAACATAAAAATAACTAAAAAATAACATTGTGTAGTTGATATATTCGATTTCCTATTACAATATACTTAAGAAGAATGTTAAATGCCTCATAAGTGTAGATATATATATATATATATATATTAATAGTTTCCAAAAATACATAAATTACATCATTATCTAGTTTAACTTTATTATTATGTATTAAATCAAGAGAATTGTTAATGTTACACCTCCAATTGATATTACTACATTCTATATGACCTCCTTGTAGACAACTAGCTAATTGTATGTTTTTTTTTTTTTTTTTTTTTTTTTTTTTGTCACTTTTTTTCCTTTTTTTTGCTTTAAAAAAGAGGGGTGGTTGGAAAGGAGATGGTAAATATTATATAGAATATATGTCATAAGTTGTTTTTCAAAAAATATAAAACAACCCCTCGAAAAAATTTAATTCAAAATTATTTTTTATTTTATTATTTGGCTACCAAAAACAAAAAAACCTAATTACTCAATTTATTCTATTTTTGGGTCAATATTGGAATTAAATATTGAGCTTCCAAATCCATCTTGAGTATAGAAGCTCACTTTTTAGTCATTAAAGTCGTGTGGAGATCATGTGGAGTATAGTGATATCAATAGGAGATGTAGCATTGAAAATACTTCCAATTAATAGTATTTAAAAAAAATTAAAGAATAATTTGACTACTATATTTAGATTTCAAATTAAAATATGAAATTTAAAATACATGTATGTATTCTTAATTTAAAACAATACTAAAAATTAGTATTGTAGATATAAATTTAGTAAATTTATATTTAATTTTTTTTAAATTATATTTAATTATGATAAAGATACGAAATATTATTAAGAAATTATTCAATCATAAAATATAATGCCAAAGAAGATAAAATTAAAAATAAAATGAATCAATGTCTTTTCTAAATTTTAAAGGTTCTATTTTAACTATGTTATAATAATTTATGTTATCAAGAAATTTTAACAAAAAAATTTTAGTTATTATTTTATTGTCCATTATTTCAAAATAATTACAATCGTCCATAATTTGACATTAAAAAATTTATGGAATTTTGATTATATAAATTAGATCAGTGTGCATTCTATACTTATCAGTTCTCATTGTATAATGATTTAAAATATTTTTTTGGTTTAGAGGGTCAGTAGCTATTTTATCAAATATCATATTTACTAATTATTAATTTTTAGGAATTGAAGCATGTTCAATTTAAACAAATATTTATTATTCCAATACATACATACAAATATACATATCTTTTATTTTTTTCGTCAAAAGATATTAATAAATTGGTTTTAAGATTTTATTGAAATTGAAGTTTTAAATGACATAATAATAATTATAACACGATATTATTATTTTTACTAAATAAATAATCAATAATATATAATTCTAATCATATATATATATTTCTAATCATATATATATATTTCTAATCATATATATATATATATATATTTCTAATCATATATATATATATATATATATATATATATATTAATTATATAAAAATAATATTCAAAAAATGAATACAAGTATGTGTATTTGCTTTCACTTAATACATTTGGTAAGTGTAACTCTTTAACATCATCTATTATACTTTGAAATAGTAAGTGAAAATTTCTATTTATATTTAAGATTTTACAAAAAAATATTCTATTTTTAATTTTAATTATACTTAGTAATATTACAACTCTAATATTTACAAAATACAATAAATGATGCCAATAATGTATTATCTTTATCTTTTATTTTTATTTCTAAAAATATTCTATAAAAATAATTATTAGAAGTTATAGATTTATTGTAGATAATAAATAATCATACATTGCAACTACTGAATGTGGTTTTATTATGAAATAGATTATTATTTTTTCACTTTTGAGATCAAAAAAAAATTTGTATTATACAATATATATATATATATATATATATATATATACATGTAATGTACGCAGCAACTGTGGTTGATACCATATTCTGTCTTATTATTTTCATTTTTTTTCTTCATGTGGAATGGCTACGAGATTAGCAAATGATCATGGATTGGCATCGACAGAGACTCTCCGTTTTATTAGCGGCTCAACTAGGTGGAAGCAACGTGGTGGCGACTGGCCAGAGTCGAGCGTCTTCGTATAATTCACCTTCTCCTTTGTGCGACAGCCACATCTGGTCACTGGAGCTCGGCGTGTTGCTACATTTTAGTCTGTTGCCATTCTGGTGGACGTCAAGTGGACCTTTCGAATTGATAGAATTGTCGTCGGCGGAAGACGGCATTTTCAGGTCGTATTCCTTCATCGATCCAAGCCCGGTACCCAGATTGATGTTGTGATGTCCTGTTCAGGTTCATCTGCACTTGGTTGGTTTTGTTCAATTTTTTTTTTTTTTTTTTTTTTTTTTTTTTTTAATCTCCTCAAGCAATGGTGTTGCTTACATTGGTATGTGCGATAGTGTTCTTTCCTGCGTTAGCTGGTTCCTAGTTTGGACTGGTCGACTCTTGTGATGTTGTGTGAGGCAACACTGTATTACGGCTGGAACGAGCAATGGATTCCAGGAGGATCTTGGAATTGTTATTGATTAGTATCGTTAATGTATGTGGGGCAGTGTTGGCGGTGTCCGTTGAAGTAGCAAAGTTGATCTGCAACAATAATTCGTTCTAGTTTTCTTTCCCTTATTGTGGACAACATTGCGCTGGCTCTGAATTGCGGTGCTAAGGGGTAGCGTTGGTACCTTGCTACTAGTCTGCTTTAACAAGGCATTCTTCCTCAGTCATTCTCTCCATCTTGATACTGATCTGTAGAAGTCTTTGTGCGTGCAGTAGTTGTCGGAGCAACCGTGACGAGGAAGGAGTAGGGAGGCTGGACTGAAGTTTGTTCTGTAGTGGAGAAGAGATGTAAGAGTACAAAGGCATTGGCCGTGACTGGTTCTGGGATACGATCAATCATGGATAGAACCGTAGGTGCAACAATTGCGAAAATTGAAGCCAAGATAAGCGCCCTAGACGTGGTACAACCAATGCTAAGCTAGAGGAGTAGCAACAGCCATGCAACGCCAGTGGAGCTCAAGCGGCTGATGACAATGTCGTTCAGCTGAATCCATCACGTTTGCGGTACATTTACCACTAAGTGACGCTGCACGACCAGCATTTTTAGCTCAAGTACTTTTTGTAGCAACAACTCTACAAACTCGACGAAGAAGCTGGAGACGTTGTTCCTTGTCGAAGTATCCTTGCTGAACCCGTTGATGGAGGGAAAAAATTCGAGGATCACATCAGTCATTGCCGTGGAGGGAGAAAGTTTGTCTTAGCCCGCATCACCCCTCCTTCAATAAGAATTCCAAGGAGGCTTAGTAAAGAGGATGAATTACGGTTAATTTGGATGAACAATTGAAGTTGAATGCAAAAAAATTAAATTGAATGAAAATTGTTTAGATGAATTATTATACTTGGATGAATAGCCATTTGATGATGAATTCTTACTAATAAATGAATGTTAATTAAAAACAAAACAATAAACAAAAAAATTAAAAATTAAATTAAATTAAATTAAGAGTTAAGAGAAGGAATTTTCAGCATGCTTTTTATAAATGATTTACCATTGTAGATGTGATTTAATGGTAGAAGTTGATTGATTAATTGGAAGATTTAAGAAGTGTAAAGAATGACTTAATTAGGAATTAAATAAAAGTCACAACTTATGAAAATTGCATAGTTAATTCACTTGTTGTGAAGTAGGAGAAGTATTCAAGAAGTGGACGTTAAGGATTAATTGATTACAATTTAAATAAAAACTAGAAATTTTAAGATTTTCATAATTAAACTATGATTTTCATTGGTAGTGAAGTAAAATAAACTATAAATTAATAGAATTTTATTTTAGCTTACAACACTCTATATCAATTTGAGTGGACAACAATTACAGATAGAAATTTTAGGATTAGGGTTTCAATAATGTTGTAGCTTCAA